GCAGGGCAGCCATAATCCAGTTTAGATAGCATGAGAGATGAGTGCAAATTGGAGGGTGCATCTATCAGCACCCAGGAAGTACAGGACAAGACTCAAATTAACGCAAGTGCCTTAGGGCATTCGACTGAGGCAAGAGATATTGAGGGACCAAGACAATCTAGGAGTTAAAAATCAGCTCCAAAAGTTTAGCTGAATCCTTAGAGAAGGGGACTACCACAGAGTGGCAATGGGGTACAAAGAACAGTCTGCCAAAAAGGAAATACACTAAGTGAAACGGTGCAGGCATACATCATACCCTGCTCTAAATTTGAAACAGAGCCCATACATCAGATGTTTAAAAGCACTGGCAAGTAAGCAAGTAATTATCAAAACAAGACACCAAGCCAGGTGGGCTATGAAGCACAATCAAATGTGCAGGTTATTCAAAAGGAGCTAAATATCACTAAGGATGCCAATACGAGAACAAAAGCACACAAGGCGAATTATATTAAAGGTATCCAATTCACCAAGGATTCTATTGAGGGACAGTCGGGAAGCAAGACACATGGTCGTCCTTGAAGTCTGGACATTCAACTAGGATATGCACAACTGTAAGGACAATGCAGTTTGGACAGTAAGGAGCAGGGCCGCACTCCATTAGGTGGCTGCGAGTTAAACGTGTATGGCCAATACATAACCTTGCCAGAGCCAGTTATGATGGTAGGAGGAAGGCCATGGGGACATGCTACCCTTAAGAACATTTAGTTTCTTACCAGTAACAGAAAACAAAGCCTTGGCAAACAATTGTGATTACTCCTTTTCTCAACAGTTGTGCCACAACCTGCTCAATGCTCTAATTGTGCTTTCTGGGGACAAACTTCAGCCTTGTCTTTTATCAACCGAGTATCTTTTGCATTTTTGGCATTTTGTATTTTGCAGGGAAGTACCCAACTCAACATGGAAATAAGGCATTCTGCACCATATACCGACTGTAAACTTGTGTATTTTCTTTTGCAAGTTCCTAACCGGCAATCACTGAAGGGAAGTCTAATGGTTTTAACTTGTGAATTCTGAAGGAGTCATTGCGCTATTTTTATTTTAATTACAGTATTTGGTTTTACTATTTCGTCAAAATTATTCACAAACCCCCAGGATTATAACACCACAGCAAATCCATCCCTTCCTGGACACCCACATCCATCCACACCAGGCAGGCCAATGACCGTAACGAGATTCCTACATCAAGCAATATTAGGTTGAACGCCAGCAATGCAGGCAAGAGGGATGCAGAAGCTACCTTTAACTGCCTGAGAGCAGGATACAAGTAAGTAATTATCCAAAGAAGGCACCATACCGGGAAGGCTATATAGCACCATCAAATGTGCGGAATAATCAGAGAGTGCTAAATATCACCAAGGATGCCAATATGAGAAACGCACAAGGCGAACGATATCAAAAGTATCAGTCGCCAAGAATTCTATCGAGGGACAAGTGACCGCGGGGGACGGTCAGAAAGCAAGACACGCTCGTCCCGGAAGTCAGGACATTCAACAAGGATATGCAACCGTAAGAGGGACAATGCAATTCGGACAATAAGGAGCAGGGCAGCACTCCATTAAGTGACCATGAGTTAAGCGAGTATGGCCAATACGCAACCTCGCCAGAGCCGTTTCCCATCGCCGGTTACGGTGGTAGGACGACGGCCACACAACTCTTAAGAGTATGCAGTTTGTTTCCAGTAACTGAAGACCAGCAAGCCTGCCAAAGGGAAAGGATGGAGGAATGCTTAACTGGGTAAAATTCAGAATAAGGAATACCTTTACGAGAGATGGGACAAGAGCGGACAGCTTCCCTGGCAGCAGCATCCGCATGCTCATTTAAAGACACCAATATGGCTGGGAACCCAGCAAAACTCAACTGACTTAAATTTACTGTGAATAAGAAATAGCCAATGCTGGATCTCGACAACCACTGGATGAACCGGAATAAAGACCCGAAAGCCATGAGGGGACCACGAGAGTCAACAACAACTACAAAGGAAGATTGACAACGAGAGAGCAGGAGACGAAGAGCATAGAGAATAGCATAAAGTTCCGCTAAGAAGATGCCAGTCTCCAGAGGTAAGCGACATATTAAGTGCAATTGGGAAAAACAACAGAGTAGCCCACACCGTCCACAGACTTGGACCCATCGGTGAAGATGGAAACGGAGCGGGAGTGAGAAGAAAAGTGCTCAAGGAAAAGGCGTTTTAGAACCGCAGGAGGGATAAAAGCTTTAGTGATGCGGGTTAAGGATGTACAAAACATGGGGGCAAAGAAGGATCAACATGGAGAAATACAAATTGAAAGAATCCTGTAAGCGAGATAACTAGATAGAATGAGGGAGGTGGTGAAGAGGAACAGGAACCACAGGAGGGGCAAAAGTTAAAGCACGAGAGAGGCGAGAGGAAGGATGTTGCAAGGACTGCGCAAGATAGTGAAGACAGTAGCGATCTCGGCAGTCCTGGAGAGACAGGAAGCCAGTGTCAGCGTACAAGCCGAGGGTAGGAGTTGAACGAAAGGCACCAGAACCGAGGCGCAACAGAGTATAGTGCAAAGCATCAAGACGGCGAAGAGTAGAAGAAGCAGACGAGTAAGTAGGGGGGCAACCATATGCGAGTTTAGACAGGACGATAGAGGAATGTAAAGCGAGGAGTGCGCGCTTATCCGCTCTCCAAGAAGTACGGGACAATACCTGAAGGAGGGTAAGGGCCTTAGAGCATTCAACTCGGAGGCAAGAGATATGGGGCGCCCAAGACAAACGAGTGTCAAAAATCAACCCTAAAAGCTTAGCAGAATTCTCGTACACAATGGGGTGAACATAAAGCGACAAAGAAGGACGAAGAACGACACACTTCCGAGTAAAAGTCATAGTACAAGTCTTAGAGAACCCGAAGCCATGATCGATGGCCCAAGACGACACGGCACCAATCGCAAGTTGAAGCCGGCATTGAAGGAAAGGCGAATCATCACCCTGACAGCAAAGGGCAAGATCGTCGATAGAGCGGAGAAGATGCCAGAAGGAAGAGAGGAAAGAAGACCATTGAGGGCAACTAGAAAAAGAATAGTGCTCAGAACACTACCCTGGGGCACACCTTCATATTGTTGAAAAGAGGCAGAGAGAGGGGTACCAAGCCTCACCCGAAAGGAACAACGAGAGAGGAAGCTTTGGAGGAAGAGAGAGAGATGACCACGAAGGCCAAAAGAATGAAGTTGGGATAGAATATGATATCGCCAAGTGGTGTCGAAAGCCTTTTCCAGGTCACAAAGGACGGTAACAATGGAGGTCTTCGCAGCAAAAGCAGTAGGAATATAGACCTCCAAGTTCACCAGGACATCTGTTGTGCTGCGGCACTTGCGGAAACCAAATTGAGAAGGGGAGAGGTGGTGATGGTGTTCCAAGAACCACATCAGACGAACGTTAACCATACGTTCAAGAGAGTTTGCAGACAACTCGTGAGGGCAATAGGGCTAAAGTCCTTAGGGGACGTTCCCAGAGACCCTGGTTTGCGAACAGGGAGGACAACGGCATTGAGCCAGTCCTCAGGGACTGACAACGACTCCCAGATCCGATTATACACTCGGTAAATACAGAGACGTGCACGGAGGGAAATGGCAAAACATCTCATAATGAATGCCATCGGAGCCTGCCGCCGTAGAACTGCAGAGGGCCAGGGCAGACCGAAATTAGAGAGAAGGGATCATTATAGGGAAGTCGAAGATGAGTGCAGAGCGCAGGATACAAGGGTCTTCCCTCACCTTGAGGTAACACCCACTCGGGAAAACATCGTAATGTGGGCATGGAAGCAAGCTTCAAGTTTGCGTGTTCAAGAGATTGCATGCAGCAGCATCAAAGCTGTTTGACCAGACTAATAGCCAGGAGACCTGAGTGGATACTAGGACACGGGTACACTGATGCCCAGAACCAACACGAGGCAGGTGCATGATTAGTTTACAGATATCCAAAAAGGATACTTGTACACCAAAATACTGGTGAGAATGCCGACATTGATAATGTTTGGAATTTGGATATTAATGCAAATACTCCACGTCATAACATTTTTTAGTGCCTTTGGAAATGTTCAAGAGGACGCCCTAAAGACATATCTTAATTTAATGGACTAGTGTAATGCGACACTATTCTCAAAGTAAAGGAGAGAGATGTACATAAAGAGCAGGGGTAGCTAGGTAAGCAACCATGGGTAGGTGTATCATACACGCACACTACCACCCAGCAGGCGTCACACCCACACTGACAACGGCAACTCTTTTCATACAGGTATCTAGTAATATTTAGCAATTCTAAATTCAGTTTTATTTGCCAACAAGTATCACTTTCTTGGTCGAATGTACAATAGTTTTTACTGTAGTCTGTATAATTTTGTACATAACATATCTTTAAATAGTTGGGTTACTTATGAGCTTACAACTACTTCCACCCAATTATTCTTTGAGGAATACAACAGAAAACTTTAGCACTAACATTGTATGCACTGTACAATAGTTAAATATATTTTCTATATAGAATACTTGGGCCAGATTCACGAAGCAGTTACGCAAGTACTTATGAACGTGTACATCTTTCCTCAATCTTTGACGGCTTTGGTTACATTTATTAAACAGTTTAAAAGCACGAAAACTTGCCAATCAACTGTTGTTATTGTTATAAACAGCCTCCTGGTGCTTTGGAGCTCATTATTAACCGTTTAATAATTATAAACAAAGCCGCCAAACATTGAGAAAAGATGTACAGGTTCGTAAGTACTTGCGTAACTTTTGTGAATCTGGCCCCTTGTGTATTAGAGATGCAGGTGACATTATAGGTCACCTCTAGAAGGGTAATGCAAGTAAAAATGTCAATACCAGTTATATATTTAGACATTTCAAAGCCCCATTCAAATTTAGGAGGAAGCAATTGACAACTATAGTTATCCTTACCAATGACAAACACTAAATGTAATGGTAAGGTAATAAAAGAATTTGTAGCATATAAATTTAATTGATTTTAATTTAACAAGATTAAATATTCTTAATTCACAAATATATTAAAAGCAACAGGAATGTTCAGAAAAATATAATTGATAGTTAATTATGAAACAATTTGAGACCAGGTTAGTAATACTAAATTTGCACTGCAAAGTTAGCGTTAAATAGTTATAAAAGATATATACAAACGAGTGTTTTGGCATTTTATCCTAACACTGATAGACATATCGATCAATAACAAAATATTTGCAAAATTTTAAGAATAAGAATCATGATAAAGTGATATAAAAACTTTTGAAACCAATGAATAACAAAATATATTTAATACTCATCAGCCGCTTCTTCTTCGTTTTCACCCTCGGCAGAATCCATGCCAACCTCTTCATAATCTTTCTCAAGAGCACCCAAATCCTCACGGGCTTCAGTGAACTCTCCCTCTTCCATGCCCTCTCCCACATACCAGTGAACAAAGGCACGCTTGGCATACATCAAGTCAAACTTGTGGTCAAGACGAGCCCATGCCTCTGCAATAGCTGTGGTGTTGGACAACATGCACACAGCACGTGCTACTTTAGCAGAGTCAGCTCCAGGTACAGCTGTTGGTGGCTGGTAATTAATACCAACCTTAAAACCTGTGGGACACCAGTCCACAAACTGTATACTCCGCTTTGTTTTAATACAGGCAATAGCAGAAGTAACATCTTTTGGCACAACATCACCTCTATACAAGAGACAGCAGGCCATATACTTCCCATGTCGAGGATCACACTTCACCATCTGGTTGACTGGTTCAAAACAAGCACTAGTTATTTCTGCTACAGACATTTGTTCATGGTATGCTTTCTCAGCAGAAATAATAGGAGCATAGGACGTTAAAGGAAAATGAATCCTTGGGTAAGGTACCAAGTTGGTCTGGAATTCTGTCAAGTCAACATTCAAAGCACCATCAAATCTCAGGGATGCTGTAATGGAAGACACAACTTGACCAATTAGGCGATTGAGATTTGTAAAGGTGGGTCGCTCTATGTCTAAATTTCTTTTGCAAATATCAAATATGGCTTCATTGTCAACCATAAAACAGCAATCAGAGTGCTCAAGGGTAGTGTGTGTTGTCAAGATGGAATTGTACGGCTCAACAACTGAAGAAGACGACTGGAAAAAAAAAGGCAAGAATCAATGTGGATTTCCCAAAAACACAGTACACAAGAGTTAAATTGAACAGACTTTGACAATGCTCACGTGCTATATTATATGCACTAAGTAAACTATATTCAGAACAATGTTATTCTTAATATACAGAATAAACACACAAAAATAATTAAATAGCAACCATTCAAAATTCGGATATTAACACACTCGCATTGAGGGGCTGCCACCCCCACTACCACAACCCAAAATGTTATCTGCCCTATTTTCTCTACATTTGAAGAGACTGAATTTGTCCACTTTGCTTGTTCAATCTTGTAGGTAGAATCATTTCTCCTCTTTGCCTCAGAATTCAGATATAAATTCTAAGCCTCTTTTTGTAGCTTATTCTTCCTTGGAGTACTCGTACACACACAAGGTGTACACACACAAGGTGTACACACACAAGGTGTACACACACAAGGTGTACACACACAAGGTGTACACACCCTGCAAGAGCAGCATATTCTAGTACTAGTCCAAATAAATCACTTAACACTAAATTCTTAATAATATAGTTTTTTCTGCTGTAACTAATTTGTACCAATTATTACTTTAAAGTACAAGGGAAAAATATTAGCATTTGCCATTGCACTATATTAAGTTAAGGATGTATAAATACTGTCATTTTTCTTAAAGCGTTCCAAGCTATGGACACTTTAAATGTTCATAAACATTTTATATTGGTACAGCTGCTCGTTTCTGTATTTTGTCAAATACTTGCAAATAATTACTATATTGCTTAGTAAGAAAAAATATCCAAAATTTATACTTTGTAAATTTTCAAAATAGACACCTTAAAAACCAATTGTCATTCTGAAATACAATGATTATGCATATTGATACTTTTAATGATATAATCATTTCAGTATTATTTATTCTGAACTGCAAAGTTAGTTAACATTTACAAATTATATACATAATGGGCTACATAATTATTATAGTAGTTATTTATAATCTACTCATCCTGAAACCTATTTACTCAATCATTTTTATTACATCATAATGGAGAAATACCCAAATTAAGAATTGGTAATTATGAGCAAAATAAAAACTTCTGGAAATTATTCATACTAGTTTACAGTATAAAATATTAAAACTATTTTACCCTCATCCATCATGCTTTATAATCCTTAACGAGTAGGCACGTCTTCGAGGGACCACCTCTCTTCCACCCAGACTCCAGTGGGCACATGCACACTTGACCACAAACATAACTAACAAGGTGAGCCCATGTCTTCCAATAACACCAGTACCAGTACAGGTATTGGACAACACGGCCAAGTTGTGTGCCACTTTGGTCGAATCATTTCACCATTTGGCAACTGGTGGTTTGTCCAAACCTTGAAACCCGAGGCAATACTCGAAGTAACATCCACCGGCATATATCACCTCTGTAACAGCATGTCATGCTTTCATGTCAAGAATCATGCCATCTGGTTACCTAATTCAAAGTAGATGCTTTAATCTCTACTATAGTGTCTCTTCTGGTGAGCTTTCTCGGCAGAAATAAGAGCTTGCTGAAGTGAAATTGAATCTTGGGGAGGTTATCTCGAGATGATTTCAGGGTTTTAGTGTCCCTGCGGCCCGGTCCTCGACCAGGCCTCCACCCCCAGGAAGCAGCCCGTGACAGCTGACTAACACCCAGGTACCCATTTTACTGCTAGGTAACAGGGGGCATAAGGTGAAAGAAACTGCCCATTGTTTCTTGCCGGCGCCCGGGATCGAACCCGGGATTACAGGATCACAAGTCCAGTGTGCTGTTTGCTCGGCCGACCGGCTCCCCAGTTAAGGGAAAGTTAACCATCTGCTCTGGAAATCAGCAAAGTCAATATTCAGAGCACCCTCAAATCTCAGGGATACTGCTCAGTAATGGAAGATTTGTGAAGGAGGGTGCCCCGAGTAAATTATTTCTGGAAATATAAAATATGGCTTCATTGTTAACCGTTAACAAGGTCTTAGGATACGGTACCAAGTTGAAACTTAACGACCAAACAGAAAACCAAATTCCATCGAGAACTTTATAAACTTACTGTGATCATTTTGTATCTTGTACAAAAGAATACGGTACTTCCAATGTGAAGTTATGTGAAGGTTATATTCCTTCACAATTTGTATGTTTGTCATTTGCATATTTAACCCCAAATACATACAATGTTAATTATGAATAACTTCCTCCATTAATTAAAGAGCAAACACCCCTCTTTAGCAACTTTCTGATAACCAACATTACAATACAACCCAAGTGGAAGCTACCCAGAATTCTAATAAGATGTATTTTTTATGCAATCCTGGAACTATTTACCAGGTGGAGCCTTTTCAGAGCACAACTGTGCATTATTTGGAATAACTTTTGATAACCTCAGACAATGTACATGTTATGATGGGTGTCAAAGTAATTATCAAAAGAAGGGACCTAACTGGGATGGGTGTCTGAAGATTTCTTCTCTAATCATACATCAGCAGTTTATACTACAGAGCACTTTATCCTCTGTGAAGAAATACCAAGAAGGAATACGGTAGCAATGTTGTTAAAAAGAAAGCAATTATGCTGCGCCTTCCAAAACAAAACTGCATTCAATATAAACAACCAGCAGAAAGTATATATTTGTCCGGCAAAAAAAACTTACTGGCACAAATGTACATTTACCATAATTAAACAATTTAAAGGAAGTATTAGAATTAAAAAAAAGAGATTTATGGTAGCTCAAAGAGGAAGTGAAAACCATGTAATATTAAATGCATGTTTGTTATACTGTATAATGTACCATATGTACACTATATTATTCTAAAGACTAAAATCTGGACTGGAAGCTACAATGTTTTTGTCATTCTAAGTACATAATAAGGTTCACACAAAGTCAGACAGCTGTAAGATAATGATCCAAGTCAACTCGAGAAAGAATACATAACAAAACTGACCTACAACCTGAAAAATGTTCTTTATAAACCTAATCAATGCAAAATACCTGGTCATTCCTAACTTAGTTATGCAAAGTCCATACAAACCAAAACTTCTAGATCCATACCACTAACCAAGTGCTAATCCAAGCTAACACACAAAATGGTTAGTATCAGACTTACCTGATTGCTTGAGGCAAAAAAACTGATCTCCCTATTTCAATCTGGCTTTCACTGCTTCTGCTCAACCCTGGATCCCCTGACACAGCTAGAGCATGACACTGCAGAAGCTTTTAATAAAAATAGTGTTGTTGGCAGCCTATTTTATTGTAACATTTAACAGGCCTAGGACTCCCTGCTATAAAATGAAAAAAGCCAAGATGTGACAAAAGCAGCAGAATAAGCTTCAAATAATGAGAATATACATTCATCATTGGAAGTGTCCGAACTTTAAATAAAAAGTGCAAAGTAATTATGGCCCGTCAAACTTGATCACACACACTTGATGCAGGAATATCCGACTGGACAATCTCTATGTTTAATATTAGATAGTCAAAACTATCAATTGAACTTCATGAAAACTACCCGCATTTGCTAGCCTTAATTGTTAAAATGCTAACTCGTCAGGCTACCACTATTTATCTGCCACAAACTATGTACAAAGCCTACTCTTACATGCATTGACTATGTACCTTGCATGGCCGCATATGACGACTGCAAGACAGCCTATTTCAGGACCAAAATGCTGAAGAAAAACTTGCAAATATACTTTATGAACTTTCAGTATCTGGTCATAAAGCCTTCATATTGCAAATAGCAATAGGAACAAAAGCAAGTGATGCATAGTAAATCTACCTAGCATTTAACATGGATATGTCTATAAGAGTAGAGGTATATTAATGACTATTACAACTGCCAATGAAAACCAAGAACATTGGGAATTCAATGTACATAAAGCAATGCAGACCTGACCACATAACTCAAATTTATAAACTACAGCAGTATAATCACAGGCTTTTATGGGCAACTATTTGTAAATCTCTAAACAATACACATGTAAAGCAAGTAATTGTCAAAAGATGGCAATGAGCTTTGAAGAATACTTTGAGGAAAAGCCAACAAATTCCTTTATATTTTGTTAAAGATTAATTTTAGTGCAAGCTTTATGATGACCAACTACACCCAAGGAATCTATTTGGATTAGGTCCTAGCAAATTAAATGCTAATTGGTAACAACAGCTTTGTAAAAATTAAGATCTACCATATCCTGCAATATACATCTATTGTATCCTATGACAAAATCCTTAATGATTGTGAACATTTATGAATCGAGATAAACTTTAGAAACAGCTACTTTAGTGCAGAGTAAGTAGATTAAAAAAAAAAAAATTAATGCATCATTTAAGAAAACCCAAAGGATGATACAAGTAGCAATACCAATAAAAAAATAAATGAATCCTTAGAAGTAATTATCAAAAAAGGCACCAAGCCAGAAAAGCTATGTAGCACCATCAAACGTGCGGGATAATCAGAGGGCGCAAAAATATCACCGAGGATGCCAATATGAGAACAAAAACGCATAAGGGGAACGATATCAAAGGTATCAGATTCGCCAAGAATTCAATCGAGGGACAAGTGACCGCGGGGAGCGGTTGGAAAGCAAGACACACGCTCGTGCTGGAAGTCAGGACATTCAACAAGGATATGCACAACAGTAAGAGGGAAAATGCAGTTAGGACAATAAGGAGTAGGATGGTGATCCATTAAGTGTCCGAGTTAAGCGTGTATGGCCAATACGCAACTTTGCAAGAGCCGTTCCCCACCGCCGGTTACGGTGGTAGGAAGAAGGCCACAGGGACACACTACACTTTCTACTAGAGATAAGAACCGGCCAAGGTTGAATCTCTACTACCACCAGATGGACTGGATTAAAGGACTCCAGAGCCATGAGGGCACTGCGAGAGTCAATTACAACCACAAAGAAGGATTGACAGCGGGAAAGCAGGAGACGAAGAGCAAAGAGAATAGCAAAGTTCTGCCATGAAGTTGCTAGTCTCCGGAGGCAG